TGAAATATCGAGGATAAAAAGTTATTTAAAAGAATTTGAAATTGCGGGAAAAAAAGACCTAGTCAATATTAAATCTTCCCTTGTTTGCAAATTGTACTAAGATAATAGTACTAGTATTATAAAAATACTAGGAATACACATACGTTTCGGCATTCGAACCTGCCTTACGCGAGCAGGACCAACTCTTATGCTTGCCAAATCGCCAAACATTTGTTTTCCTAAAATATCCAGGTTTACTTCGTTGTATGTCTGCAAAGGGTAACATGCAGGAATGAACGTATCGTTCATCCATTTATAAAAACCATCAGAGTCATTTACCTAAATAAAAAGAACAAAGTTAATTTTAAATAAGAAATACTTGAAACAGACTTTATTGGTGCAATCATAAGTATGATAGAAAATCCCATCATAAGAATGTAATGCCAAAATGACATAATTGTTCACCCTAAAATTATCGAGACCAATATGTAACTTCCCCTATTTTCTCTTTTCAATCACTGAGAGATAATACAAACCGCTGAAAATCCAAACTGGCCATATCCATCGCTTACAAGGTAGTTTCTGATATTATTTTGAAGGTAATAAGCATTGACATCAAACTCAGTGAATCCTATAGCCACGACACTTCCAGCTAATATAAGGGAAATCATGAGGTCTCGGAAACTGTTTTTTGCTGCTGCTGCTTCTTGTTGTCTTTTACGCATATCCAGAAATTTTGAATCGCTGAATGGTTTCATTTTATGAAACACTGATCCAACAAGTTCTAAAATTATATGTCTATTATATAGTACATTGTATTTTTTCCGTACAGTTTTGTTTATTTGTTAATAATTCCAATCTTGATTTTATTTATTGATTCCCTGTGTTTTGATTGGACGAAAACAAATTCAAGAAAAAGTTTACACATCGATGAATTCTTCGATCAGAACTACTTTCTTGACTGTTGTAAAAACAATGAAAACAGATACTTCTAGTCCGTTTTATAGTTAAATTACGATTACAAGAAACTTGAAATAAAAAATGAATGAATGATAGAATGAATGAATGAAAAAGAGATAAACAGGACTGACAGACGGTAATATCATCATTCATGTTTATGTCACTGTCGGATCACGAGTGTGAATTTTAAAAAATCGCTGATCATGCTGTCATTTTCTCGACGTTCCATATCAGCTCAGTTGGTATGGTTGTGATAGGGAAAAGAAACGTACCTCAGACTCTTGCCTTTTTAGCATCAAATTCATATGTTTACATCCTACAGATCCCATATTCTCCCTAAATCTTTGAACGAACCAGAGCAAATCGAGGACGTCGTCGGTCTGCTACTTTCGTTATGACGTTGTTGTCTATGTCAACATGGCCATGGTCAAACACGAATTATTCTGGAGAATACGCGTATTTACGATATTTGTTGACTTAAACAACAATCACTGAGTTTTTATAAGTTTATTTATTGATTGTTTTGACAATTTAGGTTGGATTTTATCGATATTCCATAATTCATCTTGTATACGTTTCTTTGCGGCATAAACTTAGTATTCCTACGCCGTACAAAATAACGGATTGTATGGCGGCCTCAAAGGGAAATAATTTTAATAATTTAAAAAATTCGTAATTGGAATTATAAGAATTAAACGTTCTTTTTTCAGAATTTATCGATGTGTAAAGTGCTTCGCACTTTTATTCAGTTTGTGAGTAAAAAGGCAGAGTTTACACATCGATAAATTCTGAAAAAAGAACGTTTAATCCTATAAACAAAACTGTACGGAAAAAATACAATGTACTATATTTTCAATAATAATTGCAACTTCTTTAAAAAAAAACATATTATAAATTTGTTTGTAAAACAAAATGCCTATATGGCTTTGAAGCTCAAACCAATTTTAATTAAGCTTTAAGTAGATTAAAAAATATTAGTTATTATTACTTAAAGAATTGTTTTGTTACAAGAAAAATACATTTATAACGTTCGTACCCCTTGGGACGAGACTCATACTTTGAAATTGAAGATCTTACCAGCATATTGTTTGGATTTCTTGCTCGAATGGAACGTACAATATTTCTTCAAAAGTTTTTCATCAAATTCAACACCTCTATTAGTTGCAGGGTGTTTCATAACAAATGAAAATACAGCAGCGAAAAGGAGCACCTTTAAAAAATCAAATTAGTTTGATAGATATACAATATTTCTATTCAAATTCGAATGAATAATCTGCCTCTTTATTTCAGAAACAATTCATCTTGGATCAAGTTTGATAACCACAGACTTAGGCCAAATAAAAAAGAATGTGTAATTCCGGTTACCCTACCTTCCCCATTTTTCACCCCTGACCCTTAACTTTTTTTTGGACAATTTCCAATTTTTTTTCCAGAACTTTCTCTCTTTTCATCATTGGTTTCTGGTAATAGTTTTTGTTTCAGCTGGTGTAAAGACGAATAATGACCCCTATAGAATAATGACTGAGGGGGATGATTTTCATAACTAGGCACCCACCAATTTTAACCAGTATATAATCATGCTATATCTAAATGCCACTTGCAAAACAGTAATATGTTATATCATTTTGTAAAAAAAAAAAAATCCCTACCTACCTATCCTAATTTTTTTTTTTTTGGGGGGGGGGTATAACCGGAACGTCACCTTTTTGTTTGGCCTTACAATGTTACTCGTACCTTTAAAGGATCAAAACATGTGGCGGACGCAAGAAATGAGAACATGAACGATGACAGCCACTCTTGCGATTTTGACCTTCCCCACTGCATACTGTACATAAGCAACAGAAAAGATGAAGATGCAATTGCTGATGCTATTATCCCACATGCAAGGTAACGCATCCAATGTGGTAGACGTTTTCTACTTGTTCGTGTAAGTTCGACGCAGTTTTCTTTTTTTGTTTCAGCTGTTTTTTCTCTTGTATGTTGGAAAATCAGTGTCACGAAGATGATTGGCGGAGTTGTGATGGCAGCGGATTTTAGTGATGTAAATAGTGTAGTTAAAGAAAATGAGATGATTCCAATTTTCAGAATCTCTTCTTTTTCTGTACCCGGTGCCTCGTAAAACATGGCATTCGCAAGCATCGCCAAAAAGAGAAATGCTAGTATACATGACAAACGTTGTACGCGAGTGAACGAACTCTGTTCAGGACGAAAAACTATGGAAAACCACAAGTTATTTTCAGTGATATTGTAAAAAAGTTGATTAGAAAACAAAACTTTAGAGTCATGCACATCAGTAGAGCTTGCCAAGCAATCGGTAAGTCCGTTTACCTTGTCTAGTGCTAACCAAGTGTCGCACTGAAAAACATACCTATCAAATGAAAAACAATAATATCACGAAAGTGAACGATTATGAATAAATGCAAATTTTGGATATCAAGAAAGTTAAAAAGCCGTTTGTCACCTATCTTTAGTCTTCAAATCATCAAAGGTAACACTCGTCAAGTACCAACTTTGTTCCCATCCAATCCCCGAGAAATCGTGCCAAATCCACAAGTCTAACAATCTTCCAAGATATTTCGGGCTCGACATGATAAATCGATTGATACTTCCTGTTGCAAAGCCCTTAAAGGAAAAAATGTTTCCTATTTGATAAAATGTTTGCTAGGTATTCTTTATATGCCAGTCCATGAGAACAATTTAATTTCACAAAATACACATCTTTTCTGTGATAAATTATGCCAAAATGTGTTATTTGCAGCCTTAAATAAATAATCATAATTTTATGTCAATTTTAAATAAATTGAAAACAACCCTTTTCGATGTTTCCAATAAAATTAGGATGTAAGGATGTTAAAATCACGAATAAACCAAACTGTGATAGAAATATAAGACAATTTCATTCACAGGTATAATTCAGGTGATACATGTTTTGTCGTTTAAAAACACTCACCTTTTGCAGATCATCACTCAGAATACGGACCCCGCTCTCTCCTAGCTCGCCGTACAGGATAAAGTTAACTATGGACTGAGTACCCGCACCTGCTCTCAAACCGGTGACAACAGTAACTAGGTAGAAATAGTCATCATCTTTGCTATTGTCACATAGGATGCCCAGCGTCCACTAAAAAGGTAAATCGCTCTTTAATCCAAGAGACAAAAACTAGATTTTTTTCATTTTTATTTCATGGACAACAATCTTCATTTAATTTGTTCGTAAGAATTAACCTCATTATTTTAAGAAAAGTTAACAAAACTTATTGTGCCGTTTTTGTTTCTCTAGTGAATACAGTTTTAACTTTCTAGTCAGTTCTTGCACAGCTTTTGTTATTCTAGGCATAAGCTATCTAAAAATATTAACTACTTAAGTAAACAAAGATACCTTTTCCTTATCCTCGGTGTCTTTTCGTCTCAGAAATAAAACTAAAAGACAGTAAAGGACAAGGATTGCTATGATTGTCCCATATACCGCTGCATTGCCTATGTCAAAGTTAAGGAATGCTGCATCGAAGTCAATGCTGTTGACAGCCAGAAATGACGAACCGTAGACGACATCTCTTTGGCTTGATGGTATATCTGGACATCTACATCGCACTTCCTCTATGTTTGACATTGGCAGAGGCTATTTACGGAAGAAATTTTAAAGTGGCGATGTATTTAGGCAAGAATCTCTTACAAGTTTTTAAATATTTCCTTTCAATACGAATTTGAATTGTTACTTTTAATTTAAATCATTGAATACTTAAGAGGCAATGTATAAAACAATCGACAAATAATGAAATTGTATTTAAATAATATTTAAATACCCACCTTTGCCACGTAGTCATCATCAATTGACAAGAATTATGATAAAGAAGTCACATATGATACTGATTGTTTGAAAAAGAAATTTTAGAATTCAAATTTGCTTTTATTTTTTTCAACACCCAACAATATATTTTTATTACTTTGCATGCGTCATCTTCCCATGAATTATTTATCTGAGCAGCGCATCCTATTGTTGTGATTATGGCATTTAATTCCACCTGTAGAAGTGTAACGGAAACGTTCTGTAGAGTCGAATAACTTTGCTCTGCAACGGAAACGTTCTGCTCAGTCGAATTACTTTGCTCTGCAACGGAAACGTTCTGCACAGTCGAATTACTTTGCTCTGCAACGGAAACGTTCTGCACAGTCGAATTACTTTGCTCTGCAACGGAAACGTTCTGCACAGTCGAATTACTTTGCTCTGCGACAGTAGTCTGTTCTTGAAAAATGACTTTTTTTATCAAAACTGTAAAAAAAAATGTAGTTATCAAATTTGCATTAATGTGTTAGTAAACTTCTCTCAGCATGAACTTCAACTAATACATTATCATGTATAAAGAGATTTTAGAGCGATTTGTCAGAAGAGTACTCACCGTTTCGTGGTTTTAATCCTAAGAAGCAATAACCTTCTCCACAAATCCCTTTGTGAACAAATATTTTGAATCCAAGTCCCTCTGACCAATCATTCATAGTTATTTTTTTATCAAAGTGATTTTGTCGAGATGTGGGTCTTTGGTCTCGTCGCACATATAAAGTGTAGAGAGAATTTCTGCGACTTTGCAAAACTTTTTTGTCAATATCCGCTGGATAAAAATAAATTAAAACGGCTTTCTTCGAGGCATTGAGTTTTAGATAAATCATTTGCTCAGGATCATCAGGGTTAATAACAGAGCTTATGCGTTGAAATTTTTTTGATTCTTTTAATTTGATTACAATTGGTAAAGAGTAATTAGTATAACATCGTGATTGTTTAACCAGGGTATCAACAACATGGCCATTATCTGAACTCTTGTAGGGGTTTTTGTCTCCGCCATACTCCATTTCCTATTGAGGAAAAAAATAACGTCATTCTTCGACAAAGATAGTTTATCAAAATAAATACATGTATATCCCTCAATATATATTTTTCAATCAAATCAAAGAAATCTGTTAGTGCAATAATTTGTGAAGATCCTTAACTTGCTCTGTCCTAAAATAAGATTTATTAAATGTTTTCGTCTCATTCAAGAACCTTTACTATTAAAATAATTTCACTATATTCCGGTCAAAGAATTCAAATTAAACCACAACTTGACCTCCAGAATCACTCAACACTGAGGGTTCCATGTCTTACCAATTCCTTTTTCGATACGAGAATTCAGTTTATTTGCTTTTAACCGTTTCATTTTTATAAACAGGGTTGAATAAATAAACAGAAAGAAAACAAACAGATATACAGTCATACCATTTTTATAATATTTTTTTATCTCATCACAACCCAAGCAAGTCTTTCATGGAAACGAGAAAAAAACTTACTTCACAAACAATTTCTTCCTCCATTTCTTCAACTGGAATATCATCCTCTACTCCATAACTTACTTCTTCAAGCTGTGTTCGGTTGACTTTCATTGTAGTTTGTCCTATGTCTAATGATATCCCACCCTCTCCTTTAACGAGGACAGACAACAAGGCTTCTTGTAGTGTAGATATTACCTCCTCTATTCCACCTTGAAAGGTGTCTTTCTACAAATAATTATGAAATCGAATGATATGGCATGTCAAACGTTGTAACATTCGATCTTCTCTATTTGTATTACAGTATATAATTTTCCGCTTGTATTGTAGAATTTTCCATTTGTATTGTAAAATTCTCCTTCTGTATAGTATAATTTTTTTATTTGTATTGTATACTTTGTAAATTGTATTGTAAAATTTCTTATTTGTATTCAATAATTTTTCATTGGTATTGTAGCTGATGATTGTTTATTTCGTTAGCAAGGACTTCATTGGTCAAGTTTTAGTTTCTTGGTAGTGTAGTGATGAAAAGTTACAACTTAAGACTTTAAATGTTCATTTTCATTTTATTTACTGCTTTGTTTTATAATTATTCTTGAGGCATTTTGGATTTTTTATTAAAGATTTTGATCCTTTAATTTTGTAGCGATATATTCAATGAGAACCATTTTGAATTAATGGAATTATCAATAGGCGTTAATTAAAAAATAAATAACAAGTTTATAAACTTCAATGGGAATTGAAGTGGGTCGGTCACGTGATCAAATCCTGTGAAGGCCGAAGGCCTTCTCAGAAGTTTTGATTACGTACCGACCCACTTCAATTCCCATTGAAGTTTATAAACTTGTTATTTATTACTTATATATACATTTGAGTCAGACAATTGAATATTTTCGAATTTAAATTATTGCACTAACCGTCCGTCGTAGATTTTGAAAAATGACGCAAGGTGTAAATCGGCTTGCATGGCGGTTACGCTTCGAATGCATTAGGCTAAGGAATCTGTTTCGAAGGGAATATTTTGTGAAAGGCTACTTGTGATCAGTAATAGTGCACAGATTGTTGTCTGGGAATATTTTTATTCGTGAAAAATGATAATCGATGCTGAAAAGACACAAGAAACACGCCCGAAGTTTGATGATAAAAAGTTGGAGGAATTTCGGTCGCTGGAAAGGGATGGATGGATCCGATGGATTGAGACACTTGTCCGAGCCATGCAGTTAATTTGCAATTTGATCAAAAAACATTCTACGGTTTCAGTAACTAAAGGTATACTTATCGTAAAACACTGATAAACACGGAGACACTGGCGACAGCTTTACATTGAACTACGAAAACGCCGAGGTGTTTGGCAGCTGTTCGATGTTCATGGCATGATTGCGATGATATTTTTCAACATATTTACACATTTATCGTGAGTAGAATTTAAAGATAAAATAAAAGTTTATCATCAAAATTTAACCAAAGGTCTTTCCCCCAAAAAAAGGATGAACGTTAGAGACTGTGCAGCTGACAAAAGTGAAGAAAAAATGTAAACAAACGCTAGGCTCCTAGTTTTCTCTATGTACACAGGTTGAATCGATAGCCCAAAAACTTTATGAAAAACTTGTTTACATTTTAAATAAAATAATTATCAATTTACTTGCTTATTTTGTTCATTTTTATACATGAAAAGCAAGTAGAGCAGGTCATTTTATAATTTATGTACCGGTAGATATTATTGCGCCGTGTGATTAGGTCACGTATTGACCTCTGACCTCTGACAAACTTCATACAGAATTGAAGATATTTTCTCTCTGTATGTTTATATAACAGAGAGATACCACAAATGTATATATATAGAGTTAAACCCATAAAGTAATTTTCACATTGACCACAGCAAGGATTTATGATGATGATTATTATAATAAAGCTGATTATCTGACATGTTGATTAAATTGTCCATCTATAGAATGTCATTCTTTTATCTTATCTCTTTGTGTGTCACTTTTAATTGTCGTGTACACATTAAATGAATTTCTTTTTCAATAATTAGTAAACGACAATGGCATAGTGTTCTAAACTCCCCTTCGTGTATTTTGTTTATGCTATGGTAACTCCCCCCCCCCCCCCCCCCCCCCGTGTGTAAATCTAGTCGAACTAGAGACAAGAACATAAAAAAAGATCATATATAAGCCGGAACATTTTACAATACAAATAAAATAATATAGAGTGCAAATGAAAAATATAGATTTCAAATGAAAAATTATTCAATTCAAACGAAGAAACAAAATTAATATAAAATACAATTTTAATACATACAATTCCATTGGACTATTATAAAATACAAATGGAAAATTATGAAATAGGGATTAAAATTATGCAATAAAAATGAATAAAATTCAAAGCAAATGGAAAAAAAAATATAGAAAACAAATAAGGTTTTTACAAAACAGATGGAAAATATTACAAAGTTTAACCTTTTAATTTAGATGTTAGGCAATATAAAAACTCATAAATTCTAAGTTTACCCTTGCAAACGATTTTCAAATGACTTAAGCTATTCAATCATTTTTTATGTAAGGAACTTTCAATAACTTTGTTTGAATTGTAATTTTAAGACTGAGATTTGAGATATGAGATTTAAAAGATTTTGGATGAACTTCAAATGAAGGCCGAAAAGAAACTTCAAAACTATGTCGGACCGGTCATGGTAGCCTAGTGGTGGAGCGTTTGCTTCGTGATCGGGATGTCGGGTTTGATTCTCGTTCTGGGTGCTGCGTCAAACCTAAGACCTAAGAGTGAAAAATTCTCGAATGGGACGTTAAACAATATACAATCAATCAATGATAACTATGTCGGTCCATTTCTGGTCGTGCGGAGATAGACAATACAGAACATTGTAGTGATTAAAAATTAATATTGCATATATGTGAATAAAAACTAAAAATTCAAAATTGATTGAATAATGAGTAGAAATTCAAAATAGGTTGGAGTTTTACAAATAAAATTTTGATCATCAAAGATTATATAGCAGTTGCGACATTTCCTAAGGACCAGCGTCCATATTACATATACATTTTAGATTTATCTTAGCCTTGACATCAAAAAGTTCATTAAACAAATATGAAGCACCATAATCGGTTTTTATATTCTATTCAAAAGTTTCTAGTTTCCAACTACAAGAAATTTTTTCCTTTAAGAAATTTTTGTTTATACAGAGAAGAATATTGAAGAGAAACAAAATGTTAATCTAAAATATTTAATAAATACCAGAGAAGTAATATTTTCAGTGCTCTGAAGATAGTCTTCTAAATATTTTTCACAGGGATGGTTTCTGGCCTTTTCCAATAAAGTAATATCAATGTCCTTGCGTTTAGCTCGAGCATCTCTTGCATAAATTTGAAAAACAACCGACCGAAGAACACTCACCATACCTGAAATGTATAATTAGAATGTAAAATACCAGATAAATAAACCACAGATTAGAGGTTCCCTTTAAGACTTATAATATCTATGTTACGTTAAAGTTGCAGGGAAAAAAATAAAAGTCAAAAATATAAATACAATATAACAACTTCTTTTACAAACGTTTTAATATTTTTCAAGCGTTTTTATTTAGAAGAATGTCTAGAATTTAAAAGATAAGATAATAAATGTAAAAGCAAACTACCTATAATTGCGTCATCCATAACTCCTTTATATTTCATCATAAAGGGTCGAATTTCAAAATTACTTTTTATTCTTAAAGAAAACT